TATCATAGTAAACTGCTTTTTCCTTGTATTCATCCTCATTGACTGACTGTAACAAGACCCTCTATTTAGGGTTAAACATCTGGCTCGTTTGCTCATGCTACTATATTACACAATCGAAATGAGCATCGCGAACTAACTTTTCTCCCCCATCGAATCCACTAAGTCAACACCAGACGTGTATTTGACATAGAAAAAGAGACAGTTGTTTTTTTCAATTGTCACGCCTATGAAGAGGCTTCGATGATTTGTGGAAAGCAAGACAAATACTTGATCTGTTTCTCAGATAACATATAGGCAGCTATCATGTATTGGCCTTGAAAGCTTCGAAAATGTTTATCATTTTACCGTATAAATCTCATTTTCACTTCAAGTAATACGACTATAGTTGTTACATGTTGTCAACTAGTTAAAATAGCTAGATAAGTATCATAGAATCATCATCTGTCTCACTAATAGAATAGATTAGAGAGAAAGGCCTCTTAGAATGACGTAGGTAATTTGATTTAAATTTAGTTATACTGCTCAGTGCAAATTTTGCCATTTCCAGCTTTGAATTTCCGAGCCAGTGTTAAGCTTGTTGGTTAATTGTATCTTGCACTACCTGAAAATTTGCGTTTGAAATTGAACCAATGGTTGAATTCTAGACATTCGGAGGCTCAGTCGGATTTTACGCACCACCTTTTTCAGCATATAGGCCAAAACAAACTATCCAACGCTTCATGTTCACCAGCCCGCGTGATCATGGTAAACGGATGATAGATTTGTCGTATCGTGACTTGCTTTTCTCACCCGACGACTGAGTTCAGTTGGCATGGTGTTTGTGCATTTTCGTTTGCAGCGAAATTGATCCGCCAGCAAAGATAAAAATATCCTAGATTTAGTGCACACATAAACACAAACGTCCCTATGTCCATTGTGGCAACCTTCTCACGGTCAGTGACATTCTCGCTGTTAAACCTTTGTCGGTGCGGCCTACTAAGCCCAAGAACGCAGTTCAATCATCAAAAGCCTATTATTGCCTTGGTTCTAAAGGCCTGCTTCAAGCTTCAATCAACCAGTTTAACCAATTTTGACAGTAAAATTGAAATCGGAAAATACCTGTGTCGAGTTGGCTAATCGTATTCGAGAAGGAGAAACGACACGGCTTCATGTGATCCTGAAGGTAATTTCGTTGACCAGTCTGTGGGTGAAATCATGTGCGTGTGCTTAAGTGCATTACCACAACACTTGATTGCAAAAGAAAGTATTATGCATTCTGAACGCTATTCAAAGGAAACCAGTGTGTCGTTCGATGACTGTTGATCTGAGGTACTACTCATATTTGTAATTATTTAGCTCGCGCCAGATGGATTTCTATCGGAGGGAGACTGTGCGCATGTGCTTGTGCATCAGTGGTTGGTTCAAGCCGCGTTGAAATCTGCACTAATGATCTGTAATTCTTGTCACTGATTGTGTTTGCAGAAGGGCAACTGAAAATGCCAATTGGACTCTTGGAGAATCCAACGAAATGGGATGTACGACATCCAGTCTGTTTAACACCAATCTTCACAGATATGGAGCCGAAATAACCATTAGGTGAAAGTAAAATGCAGAAGTCAAATTATAAACTCAAAATCAATCAGCTTTTGGTAACGGGTAACAACTTTCTCTTGTTCAATAGACTTGGTTTTAATATTTTTTCTTTATCTTTGGGATAAAACACAGGAAATGATGCATACTCATCACTTACTTCTGTTTAATGCCATACTCCGCAGTGTCTCCAGCAGCCGAGAATCTGAAGCTTTGGAAGCCCGGAAACCAGATCCAAACCCTCCAACTTCTCTTTATAGCTTGCCCACCGCGTTGTTTCGTCTAGTTCGACCCAATGTATGCAAATAGTGCACGGTATGATATGCTTTGTTCAGGAGTTCCTGGGATGCATCTCAGCTACCTCAGACGGTGGGATAAAACGGCATTTTGAAAACTATTTGACCTGAAAACACGTCATCTGACCTCATCCTTACTTACGCTTTTCTTCTATCATACGCTGGGGTGGTTGCCGATGACAGATAGAAAAGATCTACCCGAAGGGGGCAAGTTTCGCAGTTGTAGAGGAACACGGCATGTACGGTTGCGCAATTCACACACCACTTCGGTGAAAGGGCGATTTCACGCCAGCGCCAGATATATATGGCAGTTTAGCAAATAGCAACCTCGCTTTGGATACGGCTTCTGAAGATTCCCACTCTCACAGGTCCGCTAGCGGTTATGAAACTCCCGAGATAGACAAAGCTTTCATCTACTTCCGGGCTGTAGTTATCCAACTAAAGTGTAGGAACAGGTTCCTGCCAATCTCGCAGCAGCTACATGCACCTTTAGGGCTGAAAGGCTCTGAGCAGCTTCAGGTGCCAAGTGATTCAGCTTGTTTCGAATTTCAGGTGCGTTGTCATCGACTAAAGCATTATTATCAGGACACGCTGAGTCCACGACTCTATCTCTAAGAAAAAACTTAATCCCTAGAGTTCGCTAGGTTGAGTAACGTATTTTGCAGTACATCATACACGACGAATTTGACAAGAAGAAACGAAGAGAGTGCAACCCTAACCTTCCCCGAGATCTAGCGATGGAGTGCTTTTGAAAACTGGACGAACTTCTCCTGTACTCCTTATTTGAGAGAACAATTCCTCTATGTAGAGCAATCACTGGAGTCCAATTCCACTCTGGTATCCAGAAACAGGAGTATAGTTTGTTGTCTATATAAGATAACAGCTGTATTGTTGTTTTCCATGATTTTATGTGACAATGAAAATCATGCAAATTCAAACAAGCTGTCCGTATTTCAGCTGCTTCAGATTCTAACTCGGATAACTCGTTATTTTTTTCACTCATCCCTGTTTGCTTACAGTCTTACTACCGTCAGAAAGGGCTTCGTCGTCCGACACGTCCACAGTTTATCCCGCAGTCGTTGGATGATGCAGCCAGCCTATTGGTCAGTCAGCTGAGGAAGTATTATGCAGATGCCGAAGCATATCGAGACAATGAAGTCCGTGGTAAGACCAATCAACCTACAGCTCATTGGCAGCTGATGGAAATAAACCTATTTAAATCTTGGAATTCGGAATTGGTCAGTAAACTAGTTATCATAAGGGTATATATATAGAGAGTATATATTCACCACAATAACCTTGTTTGCAACACCGGGTGATTTTGGATAGACAGCTCTTTCAGAGCCAGTCCACTGAAGAATCAGTAATATTATTCGATGTTTTGTAGATAGGTTAGATGCTACTAACCGCAACAACCATGACTTGAGCGTCTTTATCGAATATTTTATAATACTTTTTTCCAGTGATTCACATACTGCTAAGTAGGTTTTGATCTGAAGAAAATGATTTTTTGTGTTATGAACACTACTGTAGAACTGCTTACAGTCCAACCATAAGCCAAGCATCCGTGATATTACTTTCGAACAGATCGATATTACAGCATTACTGAGCCATAAGCAGTATATTTGCCAATCCTTTGTGATCGTATGAAAATACCTGAGGTATAGAAAACAACGATATTATTTTTAATGTTGTGTATTAAGAGGCCGTGTCTTAAATATGAATAAACCGTATCCCCCGTGAGACAAGTGCATCACGTTTGCCGAATGACTAGCACTCTGACAATCTTTCTCTGGGCACATTTATTTTCTCATTCATCCTGAGACATCATAAAATCCAGTGTATATAATACAACGGGCATAAATAGTCTTTGTTTCCCAGCATTACAGTATTTATCGAGTCCCGACTATGGCAAACGCGGATGTTTACAGTGGTACAGCAGTTGATAATGCCTTTTTCGACTCTGCAATTCTCTTCTCACTACTCCTGTAGTTGTCAGTAGATAATGGAGCGTATCAAAAATCCATCAGGATACGTGGCCTTTGATTCTTCTATGCCATGTCTCTGTATAACACTTCTGACGTTACTTCCCAATTGTTGAAATAGTTCGGGATCAAATAAAGCTCTACGGACAACCCGAAAATTAATATGATACGAATTGGGGAAGTTGACAGAGTTCAAAAGGTATTTCAAGTGATCCTTCGCTTTGTGTGCCCACTGTATCCGTGTTGCACGATTTTTGGACCGACCCGGTAGACTACTAACACACATTTTGAGTAGAACACAGTACGACAAAAAAAGACTTATTTCAATAATTCGTCTTCTCTGCCAAATACGTCACATTTTATATAACTTGGGTATAAAAAGGGGGCACGTCCAAGACGAAAGATGTTTGAAAAAATGTTAGTATTTCTTGTGAAATGAGTTGGTATCTGGTCCGTTGGAGATTGAGGTAAGCCAGTGAAACAAGGTGACTACTGGTTCACGAGAGATAAACTAAATTCACAGATTGTTTTGTACGCACAATCGGGGGGGGGGGGTTATTTATGACTTTTATCATGCACTGCTCCCGCTGCGGCCAGGATACGATATTTAACACGTTTAGATTGTTGTTCTCTAACCTGGTAAATGGAGTGAAAAGCTGTGATCAACTCAATCAAGTGGCTATGCCACACAACAACTTCCATCGGCAGGAAACCGAGAATAGTAATTGGTGCCAACTGTCTTCAAGAAAAACCTAAGGGAAAATTAACCGAGTGACCACCTTCTCTTTACGGGCGTTAAGTGGTGATGTAACTTGATTCATGCCTGGTGTGCGATCTTTCGTTCCAAAGGGAAATCTATTAATTTTAAATTGTAAATAACTCCTAAATATAAAAGTAAGAGGAGGATACACTTATCATAAATTTATAGAATATCATTTTTAACTTAAACAAACTTTCTTTGTTGCGTTTTCACTGTCTTGTGACATTCTGAGTATGCGAAAACGGTGTTAATCACAGCCATAACGCTCAAGAGGTCATGTGCCTTAACCCCACCATTAACTACTTCATTCCTGTCTTTTATCCGCGTCCGCGGATGGGTCTTTTGTGGGCTGCTTCATATTAAACGAAATAGTTTTACTTAAAATGTGAGTGGACCCGTTTCGTTTTCACTTTTTAGATGTTCAGCAATTTCTAATACAGTTGGAAGATTCATGTACCCGCTTGCCTGCACTTATGACAGGCCAGCTAGTAGACGAAATCAAGCTGGATATCCTAATTTCCCTACGCGCATATACACAACAAATGTGGGAACGGTTCCATAAGCTAAATGCATTACGTGTAAGTTTCATCGCAGCTTTTAAATACCATTTGTCTTAAACAAGACAATCACAATTTTTCTAATAATTCGTGTATTTTGTGAATAATTATTTGTGATTCACTTATGTGCACCGATGTATTTTGATTGTCCCACTTGTTTTCATGCATGAGAGTTAGATTACCCATTCAATACCGAGATTTCCTTCCCAGCATCTGAATAATACTAAGTGAATTAAATGGGTGCAAATTTTCTTTAGTTCAGTTCCATTAATTTTTCTTTTCGCTCCTCGATACCGAAAGATCATTTTAGAATTTCAGGTATGTTTATGACACTGCGGGAAATCGAAAGTTACATGAATTTAGTACATATATTCAAGGGACTTGTTGTTTTAGTTATTAGATTGACAGTTTATCGCGTTAGGGGAAGTACAGAATCCAGAAAACAAGGCCATTTGTCGTACATATGGCATATGGAGCATGCATTGAAAAGCTAAGAAGCACTGAGCAGCTGTTTCCACATGAGTGAGCCTCATCAGCAGTGTGAATCCATCGACCTCATGGACCTCATGAGCGGAACGCAAGCATGCTCTCCACTACGCCACCGGGCAGCTGATCAGACCCTTTTTCATTTTTCATACACACCATAAAGCACAACCCATCNTGCGATCTTGTTGCAGGAAAATGAAATAAGCAGTGAAGTTGTGAATGTTTCCACCTGAGTCATAACCCTGTAGGCTGGTGCTGAGATGATCAGGTGTTGTGACCCGCAACAAGCTCGCAAAGATGGGTTGTGCTATATCGTGTAAATAAAAATGAAAAACGGTCTGATCAGCTGCCCGGTGGCGTAGTGCGCAGCAAGCTTGCGTCCCGGGTTCGATCCCTAGTTGGATCGATGGATTCGCACTACTTATGGGACCCAATCATGTCGAAGCAGTTGTCCAGTACTTCCTAGCTTTTCAGTTCACGCTGAATTTGCCACATACACGAAAAATTTCTCTTTGGAATAATCCTATGACATATTTTTGCACAATGCAAACGACGAATGAGATTTGAGTTAACAAAGACCAAGGTGAACTTCCTCAATTACTTCATTCACAGCATCAAAATCAGTTGGTTTTTATCATTCATTCCATTCAATCGACAAGAGTCTGGTGGACAGGTATGCCAGTGTGAAGGCGATAAACGTTATTTTTACTATTCAATAGTACCTTAACTGGTGTTAAAACTTTTATGCTCGTGACATTTCGCATTCTTAAGTTGTGTACCATCCGAAGGGGTAATCGACTTCCAAGATTGCAACGTCGCTTATCCTGTGTGTTCTGTGTCCGTAAATTACGTGAAACATCACGCTTATCTGTGTATTTTATCTTCTAAGCAAAAACATATTGAACTACTTCATCCATATCTCGGAGCACCATCCAATAAAAAACTCTTGGAACAACTGAGCATAGATGAGGAGAAACGTCATGAAGAATATCTACAACTCGCTAAGGAACTTCACCGACTGCGCCATGCTGTTGTCACTAAATACGGTCGGCGGGGTTTTAGCCAACTCGGTGGTCTCACAGACGGCCTCTTCATTCGTTTTGATCGGTTGACCAGTGAATATGACATAGAAGAAATACGTAAGTGCTGAATTATTGCTACCGTCATTTAGTACATATATGCTACTTCATCTTCGTTTGTTCCACTCACAGTCACTTATGGAAATTTTATTTACCGTTAATTGAAAGGAACCAACACCGATTAATGATATGATGTAAGATTTGAGTTGCATAATTCATATCAGAAGCTAAAGTAGAAGAGTAAATAGACAGAAGATTACCGGTTACGCATACCTGACGAGCGGCAAGGACTGTGAAACCGGTCGTCTAGTTCCGGGAAGTTTTGTCCAGTCATTAGTAAAAAAAATCATTATTTAAAAGCCAATTTGAAATACCTTTCCCTTCTCGGTTTCCATTCGTTGAAATAGATTGAGAACATAAGTTTAACCTACAGAATGATAATCGAATGTAAGTCCAAATATGAATCTATCCCCTGGGACGCAAAATATGCTATAAGTCACGGATCAGTATTGCAATGGAAACTTTTCATTCACAACTGGAAAGCGTCTGAGGCATTCCACAGTCGTTTCCGAACCCGCAGAGCTTCGAACCAGGCTGCGGGAGATTATCAGTCCGATGAGTTAACCAGTTTGGTTATCCGTGTGGCTGTCATAAACTTGTCAATTATTAGCTCTATTCAGAATGGTATTCATCTACTACCGTTGTTTTTATCGTCATTACACAATAACTTATCTCGGGTTCTCGAAAATTAAGAACACTCAATGAACTCCAAAAATGGTCATCATTAGGAACAAAAATAGCATCAACAACAACTTGTTACATTTATTTTATTACCTTCTTCTGATAGGTTACTTTTGTAACTATCTGAAAAAATCGGGACATGGCAAACAGCGATATTGAACATGACTGCTTCAGTTAATGCTTTATTCTCTTGTATTCTACTATTTTCATGGTTCAACTTAAATAAGATTTTTTCTAGTGTTCTGATCAACATCCATTCATAGTATGTTGCACCATATCCTCCTTTAGGGAGACATACTTAATCTGGAATCAACCGTCAGCTTGCTTTCATACATGAATGCCCGTGGAACACCGCGCCCGTAGACGACCAGCGCAATCGAGTGTGGCCAGTAAATTTCAATCAACGATGATTTTTATTAAATCATGCTTTTTTATTCCGAATTACAACTTATTGCATGATAGGGAACATTTTCACTGAAGTGGAGGATCAGAAGAATCTCAATACATGGATACCGATTTTCTATGAGTCACGATTACTTACCAGTCGCACTACGCGATGCGTATTAGCGTTTCTTGGAACTTCATTTTCACCCACAATTCTCGCACCGTCCACCGTCCATTTGATGAAACGAACCAGATTTTCTTGATAAACACTGAGTCTAAGTAACTGTCAGTTGGAATTAACAACAAGTGGGAATTTGCGAAACAATTTCTCTAGGCTGTGATGGCTGAGCTATTATTGAAATCATTATATCAAACTGGAGACCATCAAGAGTGCCTGGTGCTTCTGAACAATCGAATGGGCTAATTCAAGCTTCATAATCGAAATGGAGACGATATAGTTAAATCACACCACCATCGCCGCCACCAGCTCCTTCTACATGTCTGAAGAAAGTGTCTGATCGCCTACCGCTTCAAAGAGTAAATGAACGCATATTTTACAATCGTATTCAGCAAAAGAAAGTAAATAGATTGGTGTTCAGAATTATTATTTCTAAATATGAATGCAACTATTTCTAAATGTGTGCTTCATTTCAGCGGACATGCAGGCTGTGTACGTTGAGTCAGACTCGTTAGCCTTGGACGGCGTAGATAAGTCACCAAAACCCAACTGGGAAACGGATGCGGTAGAAAAGCCTTTGGAACTTATGTCTCGAGGCAAAAAGACATTCTATGCTGTGGAATCCGCACCTTGGGATAGTCCTTCGAATTCAACATCCCCAGCTCTTCCCTCGCTTCAGAATTTATCGATGTTTCGCTCTGACAGACCAGGTAAAGAGCCTAAAAATCGGACCCGTGGAGGACGGATGCAAATTCGAACAGGAGAAATGCGCTCTCCAGTTTCGTTTGATGGAAACGCCAAGGTTCAAAGTAATCAATCGAGTTACTGCGTTGTCACAGCGAAAACCACTCGAGCACACATCAGCGTGTTGGAATCAAGAACGTCGGCAGCAGAAGTAAGTTTACTCCTTTAGATGATCAAACGGACAAAGGAACTGACGGAAAAAGTATTAATCTATTTAGTAAGAGTTAACTGGTAATCGTAATACTAGGTTTTGATAAACTAAATGTAAAACACTCCACGTATGCAAAACGTTTGCACTTCAAACGACGGTCTTCAAAATTTTTTAGCGTTGGGAAAGAACACTGTATTTATCTAAAGTTTATCTGTTTCAAACGGGGCAGAAAATGAGTATCTAACGAACAAATCCCAACAAACATATCATTCACATCAGGATACCAGTGCTCGTGATATATACATATATATATGCCAGCAAATCAAGATGAAATAACTTTTATAGCAATGAATTTCCTCGTGAGCAAAGTACTACCAGGACGCCTAGGCCAAAGTGAATGAATCTTCTTGGCTATTTACATCTGAATCCTTCGTCTGGTAAAACATTCGGAGCGTTAAACTAATTTTTAACTTGAACAAAGAACACAAAATTACAAACGAGTACGATTTAATTCCGGAATCATTTCGCTGCTTCTCAAATGGTGCTTACTGCAGAAAGTGAGCTAATTCGGATCACTCTAAAGCTCAATGGTTACCCAGCAAGGTTTATACAAAGGTACAGTGTACACACCGAACCCAAGACCTCGGGACTGACAGCACCAAAATGCGACGTTCTCNGACGTTCTCATTCAACTACCGTTCAGAGGTGACGATGTGGGTCAATTTGTACGAAGACGGCTGATTGCATCGGTAGCCCGCACATATTTTGCTGCAAATCCGGTCGTTCGCTTCACCACAACCCAGATTCCGAAGCCCTTGGTGAAATCATCACTCCCTCTGTCAGCCAAATGACACGTTATCTATGAATTTCAATGTGAGTGCGGAGCCACCTACATGGGCAGAACAGGTGCACCCGAGTGGCAGAACATATACGAGCATGGGTCGAACGCGAACGGATCAGATTGAGGACTACACAAACAACCAGCCCACTAAGCCAGCCGCAAAGAACACCTGCATCATCAATTGCTCTCCATCTACTGCAGACTGGCCATCAAGCCGATCGCTGGACTTCTATTCGGATTGTTTACACAACCTCGACTGGACGGCTGCTGAGATTTTCGGAGGCCATAGCAATCAAGCGCCGAAAGTCCCCACTGTTTCAGCAGAAGGAGGTCTACATCAGTCTGGCATTGCCCTGGTAACCATGTAAGCGGAAGAGTGAATTGATACCATGTTAGATTATCAACACCTGTGATATATAAACTGATTTGTATTCTACAGTAAGCACCAGTTGAGATGCAGCGAAATGATTTCGGAATTAAATCGTGCTCGTTTGCAGTGTTGTGTTCTTTATACAAGTTTATTTCGGGAAATAATTGCTTTAATTTTTAACTGTTAAAAAGCCATGTCGTTGCCTGAGAATGATTTTTCATATTTAAAAATTGCTAGACCATTTATTCATTTCCGGTCCCAAGCCTTTGTAGTATTATGGAAAATTCAGGTAAAGCACACTGTTGGCAACCTTTGCCGGCACGGTCGCAGATACCCTCAAAAAGCTGACGAAATCCTAAAAAAAAGCATACCTAAGTTTCGCTGCACTAAGTAGGGAGGGCTGAAGCCACACCATAGCATCTACTTCTATGTCGTTCACTGACTACCGTTACTTTTGTCACTCAAAGAGCAAAGTCAATGCATTGGACTTTGAAAAAATTCATCCCTCAGCGCAAACATTATACAAACACAAAGGTTATTTCTCGGAATAATGACATATCTTAATTGTATTAGCTATTTTAATATGGATCAGTTGTGAAGCTAAAGCACATCTAGTCACAAAGGATCAATATATATTGGCTTCGGATGGAAATAGAAAAACATAACCTTAGGCTTCAGAGAGTTCGGTTCTTCAGTGTTTCATCAGGCTACAACCTGAGTGGACTCGATTGCTGAAGCAAAAAGAATTCGAGATCGAACAGAGTTCCAAAGAGTGCATACTCCGAAGATGAATTTTATCACAATCTGCACGACCTCTTGCGTAAAGCGACCCGGGCTGATATCGTGATTTTAGCAGGCGATATGAATGCTCGAGTAGGTCAACTGGCTCCCAACGAGGCGCATCTTGGTGGTCCTTTTGGACTAGACTCCTGTCGCTCCGAAAACGGGGAACAGCTGTTGGCTCTTTGTTCCGACCACTGCCTATTCCTTGCC